ACTCACAAGGATCTGCCTGCCTCTGCCTCCTGAGTGCTGGGATTAAAGGCGTGTGCCACCACGCCCAGCTCTTTTACTTATTTTTATCCTGTGTGTATGAATGTTATTGAATTCTCTTGGAACTGGGAAGAGGGCATCGGATCCCCTGAACTGGAGTTAAGGACAGGTGTTAGTTGCCCTATGGGTGCTGGGAACCAAACCTGGGGCCTCTGTTAAGAGCAGCCAGTGCTCTTACTGGCTGAGCCATATCTCTAGCCCCATGATGTTAACTCATTTTTAAGTCAGTTTTCTATGGCTTGTGCTTTTTGAATCCCAAGAAATATTTGCTACTCCCAAATCAGGAAGATTTTTCTCCTGTATTTTCTTCTAGAAGTTGTGAAGGTTTTGTAGTTTTAGCTTTTAATCTGTGATCTTAATTTTGAGTTCATCCAGATTGGAGTTCTTTTTTTTTTTTTCCGTGTACATATCCCATCTTGTCAGTAATATTTGTTGAAAAGACTGTCCTTTCCTTACTGAATTTTGGCAGGTTTGTAAGAAAGTAACTGGCCATATATATATAGACTTAAGTACTGTCCATAAGTCCCTTGTACCTCACATCCTGTTTAGGATTATTGGGTCTGGATGGACTGGCTGTTTTAATTATCATGATGAAATGTCTGACTTAATCCCTGCTAGAGTCCCCGACCTGGAAGATTACTTTTCTGATAGACATTTGTGGTTTTCAGGGTCATTGTGTGATGTGATACTCATTACCTGGTTTCTTGTCTTTAACTTAAAGTGTGTTTCTTGTGGACAACATGTGGTTTGCTTTTTAAAAAATGCATTGGCAGCCTCTGCCTTTTAATTGCCAAGTTGAGATCTAAAGTCTGTTTGCTTTCTCAAAGTTCATCTGTTATTCTTTTAAAGTTTCTTCTTTCTCTTTCTTTTTGATAACTGTTTGTTTTGAGGCCCAGGCTGGTTTTGACTTCATTACCTGCCACTGAGCAGAGGATGACCTTGAACTACTTACTGGTCCTCCAGCCTCCTTAGTGTGCCACCACCCATACTGCGCATGTATCTTAAATCTTTTGCCCATTTTAAATTAATTTTGTCATCATCTTGGCTTACTACCATGCTTTTTTGCTTTTATTTTTATTTTTGGTCTTTTTGAGACAGGGTCTCCCTGTAGCCCCAGCTGTCCTGGAACTCACTACATAGACCAGGCTGGCCTTGAACTCACAGAGATCCACCTGCCTCTGCCTCCCAAGTGCTGGGACTAAAGGCAGAAGTAGCTATTTTAACAGGTGTCAGTACACTTACAGAGTTGTGGGGCTGCTCTGTCTAGTTCCAAGACAGTATCACTTCAGAATGATGTTTTAGACCCATTACAGTCAGTCCGTGTTCCAGTTCCTGGCCTCCTGGCTTACT